TTTCCCCTTTGGTAGTTAGTAGTTAATTGATCCAAGGATCTTATCCATCCAGTTTTTGAAAAAAGCCAGTGTTTTAGCTTCAACAACCTGGCTGGGTAGCTTCCCATCAAGCTATGTGTAGAGAAGTGCCTCCTGTCCTGATTGGAGGATCTTCTAGATGTTTCTAGTGAAAAGCCAGTATCAGCTTCCTCAGCATGGCTGAGTTTCAGTGCTGTTTTGCCTGAGCTTGTAGAAGTCAACTCTTGTAGGCTCTTGTAGAAGCCTTTCTCCACTTTTTTGCTGTTTCCATGTTTAGCTTACTTCATTTTCTGTCTCCTTGTCTTCATTTTCAGCTCTCTGCCTTCCCACTGCCTTCTGTCAGTGCTCTGGGCTTCTTCCACTGTGGCCTGCCTTACACAGACATGTTTTTCTGTGAAGTGCTGCACTGTTAGCAGCCTCTTCTGTACCTCTCCCTCTCCCTTGTAGTACTTGTTACACACCACTCCGCTAGATGAGCTTAGCTAGAGGATGCTCATGGAAGAGACTTGGAATTAACACCATCTAGACATCTATTGAAGCAATTACAAAGTTTTGTATGTATGTATACAGTAGAAGTGCAGAATTCAAATCAAGGGATGTTACACTGGAATCAGTCCACAAAAAAGCAACTAGATACTGTACATTCTGATTCTTAAGGGATTGTCCTATCCTGACAGACTGAAGGAACTGAACCTGTTTTGTCTTGAAGAAAGAAGATTATGAGGAGACTTGTCACCAGTATTCAAAAGCCTTAGGGGAATTTAGATAGTCAACCAAACAGACTTTAAAAACAGGACACCAGTAGACACTTTGCAGAAGTGCATTTAGAATTAAGTACAGGGGACAGTTTTTTACACAAAGGGTAGTGGGAGTGTGGAACAAGCTACCCAGCCGTATGGTTGAAGTCTATACTTCAAGAAACTCCCTTTATGAAATGGGCAGACTAATAAGCTGCGATCAATATAGATATTAAATGGGCTGAATGGCCTCTTATCATTTGTATCCTTCCTTTTATTCCACTACCTCCTCCCTCTTGTCTGAGTTACAAGCTGTGACATATACAGTAGGCATGAAGCCCAGGTTAAGCTCTGCTAGCAATGATGATCATGAAGTCAATTTCAACAGTGGCTTTTAAATAGAATATCAGCTTCCTCAGCTTTTAATACTCCTGTTGCTTTCTACTTCCAATCAATCCATTTTTTTTTTCAAAATGATTTTGTTCTTTCTATAATCCTCTGGGCCTTTTCAGTGCAGGATTCTGAGCCACTGGAATGAGCCTGATCAGTTTATTTATTGAAACTAATGTGTGTGGGTGTCATTGTACCCCAGAGTGATTGGGAGTCTGGGAAACTGAAAGAGTGGCACTCACTTTAATTTATTACTAGGTTGCTTGGGTATGCTTTTCAGCGTACATACACAGATACGAGTGATCTGGATTTTATAAATGGCCCCCACTAAACAGGCAGGGTTCTCTTGTTGTGACATGATTAACTGATCACATCTAGGGTTTCAAGCTGAAACAGCTCCGTACCATCTCCCCCTCAGTAAACTTTGATTTTTTTCAGAATTGTCTTTCCTGGGGACATAAGAGCAGTTTTTACTCCATGGGTCCTTTTAGCCCTTTTGGTAGTCAGTAGCTGAGTGATCCATTGATCTCAGACTGCTGTTTCTTGAAGAAAGCCAAGGTATTTGCTTCAATCACCTGACTGGGTAGCTTTTTCCACACTCCCACAACTCTTTGTGTAAAGAAATGCCTCCTCTTCTCTGTATTAAATGTACTTCCACATATTTTCTACTTGTACCCTCTGGTTTGAGTTTCTGTTTATACTGATCACGTCCTCTGGGCTGACTTTATCAAAGTCTTTGAGAATTTTGATTTCTTGTATCAGGTTGCCTCGTGGGCTTCTCGGTTGTGTGCCACATAAACATATACAGCTTCCCCAGTCTGCTGGGCTTGCTCTGTTCTGCAATACGTCCACAGAGAGGGAGCCTGTTGATCTGTGACATTGCCGATCAGAGTGGCTCCTACCAATGGTTATTTGTGGCCTCCAGTGCATGTGTTAATCAACCGAAGGTTAATCTGAAAGAGGGTTTTATTCCCGAGCTCTCAGTGTCAAATCCACACCACCCATTTTCAGTGTTATTCTTCTTATTATTTCATTATTTTTTCATTTTAGTGCACACACAGTACTGTAGGAGAAAAAGGCCGTCATTCGAAAAAGAATATTTTCCTTCCCATGCTGCAGGTGTATCAATATTTGTGTAAGTTTCCAAAAATTCCATGAAATTACAGCGCTGATATTCTGCTGATAGGCCACTTTTTTTTTTTTCCCCGAGCAGAGCCTTAACAAGTGCCTCCCTCCTTACGCAAGTCCCCCTGGTACAGCTGGGGTGCATTTCCGAGAGCTGCTCCAGGTTCGGTTCACCCTCAAAGGCTTTTCACGGGCACGGCTTGCAGCCGAGCCTTCTGCGCTGTTCAAGTTCAGGTTCATCTGGGTCCAAATGCAACCAGATACAGATCGGGAGAAGGAGAACACAGCTGCACAAAATCTGATCTCCCATCCTGAGCAAAGATTGAGATCGCCACAAACCTATTTTTTAATCAGTGCTGTTGTTCTAATGGAAACTATGTGCATGTTGCCTGCACTGCGTGTCGGTACTTTATTCTGATAAAAGCTGGGTCCCTTAGCAAAGGCCCTGTAAAGGGCATCCCAAGGCAACATAGAGTAGGAGAAGCAGAACTTCGAAGAAGGCTCAAATCTGTGAGGTGCTAGCATACCAGGAACGCTCTTTTAAGCATAGATCAGTTTCCGATATGTCATATCTTCGGTTTTCTTCTTTTCTTGTTTTTTCTCAGCAGTCAATGTCAGTGCGTATCGAAAGTCGTGTTTTCCTCTCCAGTCTGTATTTGGCACAACCAGCTGCTCCAGCCCGGGATTGCTCTGCACTCAGTTAGAGTTTAGCAGCTCTGTTCTCTGGTTACTCTGCAGATCGTATCAGCTGGAAGCACAGAAAGTTTCTTCGTTAGATTCCCATAGTTTTCTGAAACCTAAGCTTAACCCCATGTTGTAAAATCAGTTCATAGGAGATCTTGAGGAGTACCTGTCTGACTGTCAGTCTCTTCCCCAGTGGAAAGCCACAGTATACTGACATATGAAAGGCTTCAAACAAGAGGCCATTCAGCCCGTCTGGCTTGTGTGATAGTTTAATAAGAGAAAATAAAATTGCATCCTGTTGTTTCTTGAAAATGTGGGCCTCGGCCACCTGGCAGGGATCCCAGGCTCTTCACCAGGTGAATGAAGGGGGAACTTCAGGGAGGACAGACTGTACGAGCCCAGAGTGGAGCGACTCCAGAAGCCATTGCTGGTTGCAATGTTGTGATGAAGGCCTGTCTCATGCCTTTGTTGCTTGACCTCCAGTATGGCTTCACACCTATACATACCCAGCATTATTTACTCATCCGTTCCAGGCTCATCCTCATCGGCATCCTGGAAAGGACATTATTATTAGAATATTCATCCTCATTCTTGTTATTGTTCTTATTCCTTCTTGGCAGTTGGCTGTTGTCTTTTGTTTGTGTGCATTTGGGTCCCTTGTTTATTGTGTATTATCTGTTGCTGTGGATCCACAGCTATTCCCATGGCTGTGTTTGTTGTCTCCTATCCAGTGCGCCATTTAATTTACAGCCCTGAGTTGCCTGTGGTTCAAATGGATTCTTACCTGTGCACCAAGGGGTTTTTAACCTGGCAGTCAGGCTGTAGCAGTCAATCATAGTACTTCTGCTTGTAAGTGTCCATTAACCCTTGATAACCCTTAACTTAGGAAGGATGGATAGGTTTAATGTCATGCAAACCAGGTAGCATTGCTTAATTACATGATAACACTGCTTTGTCAATGGCCACGGGAATCCTGTGCTACAGTGGTTCCGCACCCTGGTCCCAGGGAACGGAATGCGGGACACGGTCCGGTATTAACTGACGGCTGTAATTGATCAGCTTGTAATTGATCATTTAAACTTTTGGTTTCCATGTTTCTGCACAGAATAATGGCTTTCCAAAAGAGCTGGCACAGAGGGTACCTGGGTGCATGCTTCTTGCAGTGTGTGGTAGAATTCTGCAGTACATTTGACATTCCAGTGACAAATTAACAATGCACATATTTTATGCACATGAAGAAAAACTCTTCCAACACCCCTTTAAACATAATTCTTTATTTCTTTAGTGGAGTCCTCATCTCATGTTTCGATGTAATTAAATGTTTTTTCCCCCCCCACTGCAAAAACGAAGTTCTGGAAGGGACTGACAAAGAGACGAGACCAGGGTGACAGTATTAAGACTGCCATCAGTTGAAACACCTTACTCAAGGGTACAACTGCAGTGTATGACCTGGGGTTTGAATTCACAACCTTTCTGTTATAGGTCCTGAGCCCCTGACCACACTGCTTCACACAGTGCTTTAATGACAGTCAAGCATACAGAACTGTTGTCTTTACATGTTGTGATGTATAATACATTATCCATCCATTTTCTAACTACTTCATCCAATTCAGGGTCACAGGGCAGCCAGAGCCCCTCCCGGCAAGCAGTGAGTGCAAGGCAGGATACACCCTGGAAGGGACGGGAAAGATGCAGACACACACACTCACACCAGGACCAATTTTATTTTCCCAGAAGGCAGTTGAACTACCAGCATGTCTCTGGACTGTGAGAGGAATCGAGCAGCCAGGGGAAAGCCACATGAACACAGGGAGAACATACAAATTCTACACAGCTAGCACCTCAGGTCTGAAATTAAACTCAGGGCTCCAGTGCTGCGAGACAATAACGCTAACAACTGTGCCTCCATGACTCCCATAATACATCACAGTCAATAATATCCATATGCCGAATATTTGTGGATAATTCCTGGTTATTTTCTCATTTAACATGCAGTAACCACAGGGAATTAACTAAATCCTTACTCTCCCATCTCTTTTGTTCCAGGATGAGCTGGACCTCACAGATAAGAACAGAGAGGCCATGTTTGCTCTGCCAGCCGAGAAAAAATGGCAGATCTACTGCAGCAAAAAGAAGGTGAGTGACCGCTGTCCAGGGCTACTTCTGCCACCTGGGTAGAAGTCCTGCAGGACCTCCACAACCTGGGAAATTGTAAATGCAATTCCCAAGCCTTGGAAAGTCATGGGCAATAAAAGAAACACTGGGCATGCACGCAAAGCGATGGAGAACTGTTCTGTATGGTAGGACTGACGTTTCCGCTGGGGTGCAAGTAGTAGCAGGTGTTAATGTTTGTACACAACAGCTGGGAAGATGTTGGCTGAAGGTGGAAGCGCAGAGAGGATTAGTTGGTTGAGAGAGGTGATGACAAGGCTATAATGGAAAAACAGATAAGGTGTCTTAGAAAAGTCCTGAAAAATAAAAATAAATTAAGCTTGAGTCAGTGTGGAACCACGTTTAGTTGGGCAGATTTGTGTCCAGATCCATCTGCTAGAAGGTATACAGTCAAAAAAAGTACGTGACCCCCACCCCCACCACATGTAATTGTGGGAGTTATCTTTTTATATCGTAACTGGTTGTTTCTTAAATAGCCAAAAAAGCTTATATTTACCAACTCACTGTTTTTTGAGGCATAGTGTTGTAATAAGTGAATCCTTAGCATACTTTACATATTTAGCACAATGAAGGGGTAATTAGAATTAGGTGATTAAATGATTGAGTAACAGGTAAACAAGGGTGTGTTTGGGCAACCCTATGCTACATAATAATCAGAAATTGTGAGTGGTTTTCATAATGCAGGTTAGTGGAAAAACGTCATGCCGCAATCAAAGCAGATTAAACTGGAACTCAGAAAAAGAGCAGTTGATGCTCATCCATCTGGATAGAGTTATAAAACAATTTCTAAATTTGAGGCTCTGCATCCACTCTCAGACAGATAGTCTACAAATGGAAAATATTCACGGCCCCGGTGACTCTACCCAGACTTGTTCCTGCCAAGATTTCCCCAAACCCGCAAACCCGGAAATCAAAAAGAATCCCAGAGTAATATCTAAGGATCTGTAGGCCTCTCTTTCGGCAGCTAATGTCAGTGTTCATGCCTTAACCCTTAGGAATAGACTGAATTAGAATGGTTTTCATGAGAGGACAGTCAGGAAGAAAGCATTGCTCTCTAAGAGCATTGTCACACGTCTCAAGTTCACCAAAGAGCACCAGGACGATCCACAGGCCTACTGGAAGAGTGTTCTCTGGACAGATGAGTCAAAACTTGACCTTTTTGATGAAAGCGTGAAACAGTTTGTGTGACGAAAACCAAACTCTGCCTTTCTACAGAAGAAGCTCATCCTGACTGTCAAGCAGGGTGGTGGAGTATCATGGTTTAGGGCTGCTTTGCTGCCTCAGGATCTTGGCAGTTTGCCATCTTTGACAGACCTATGAATTTGGAGTTCTGTCGGCACATTCTGGAGGAGACTGTCATTCCTTCCATTCATCAGTTGAAACTGAGCCGAAAGTAGAAAGTGCAATGCAGCCATTCGGAGTCAGTGATCCTAAACATACCAGCAGCACTGCTAAAGAAGGACTCTTGCCTTTGGATTGGACAAGTCAAAGTCCAGACCTAAGCCCCATTGAAATATTATAGCAGGACCTGAAGCAAGTTCTTCATGCAAGTGAGCACTCAATTGTTGTCCAACTGGAAGCAGTTCTGTAGGGCAAAAAGGGACACAATCGCTAAGTACTAATACAAGAGACTGATAGACACTTAGAGGAAACATCTAGTTCAGATCATTGATGTACAAGGAGATGCCACAAGTTACTGAATCTAAGGGTTCACTTACTTATTCACTTTGTGTTTGCAGCAATCACAAGACACTTTCAACACAGAACATCACTTCAACTGGTTCAGAAAATCTCATCCACCTCGCCCGATTCACAGATCATCAGATGCCCAAAGTAGCTGAAGTTGAGATGAAGTGATTTAGCTTTGTCATGTCTCTGTACTGCTTGTGGTTATTGACCTGAACAAACAGCCATCGCATCTGGGTCTGTTTTACCAAGCTTTCAGTCACCCTAAGAGCACAGGAAAACCATAAAATCATCCATCCATCAGTCTTGTCCAGTACCAAAAACCTATTTATTCTTGTACTTTTAAGCATTAATGGATGATAATTACCCTCAAACTAATTAACGTCAAAATGTGGTTCCTAGTTCATTACATCCCCTCCATTCTCTTCATTCATTTCCGGATTCCACCCTTGACTCCCTGTGCCTGGCCTCTGGGTGGAGCATGAAGAATTGTCTGTGGTCAGCTTCCTCCAGTACCTTAGCCATAGATTTTAGATAATGGATTTAGATGATTTGTAAACTTTCAGAAACAAACTTTAATGAATGCACGGCCTTACCAAACCAGGGTTCTTGGCAGGGACTGCATGACTGAGCTGGAAGCAGAGCCATTCATTATTTTCCACTGCAGTGGTCTGGCCTGTTTGATGTTATTGATAGTGACAGTTTTTTTTGTTTCGGAGTAAACATATAGCATAACAACAGGACGTCACTGAGAAACAAAGGCAATTAGAGGTAGAGTTTTGGAGAAGCTACCAGACGTCCTGTGAACTAGCATTTCATTTTCTCTAAGGCGGTGCATGACCGTGCCAGATTCACAGAATTCATCCAGCTCTGGGACTGAGCAGAACCTCACCGAGGATCCATGTGCTGTAATTAGTCTTTCGGTACCCAAGAAATATTGCATGTTAAGAAAGCAAAACAATATATTCCTAAAATAAATCTGTTCCAGTAAACTCAAAACATATGCAAACCTTACAAACAAGTGGAACATGCCTGGCTGAACTTTCTGAATGGTACTGTATATCCTGAATTAAATATCAATTTAGTGTTTATTGTATAGCATCCCTGTTAGACATATGGTTAGCTGAAGCTTGTGCGCTATTCCGAGCAATATTAGTTGTGTTTGGTATGGAAGCTGGCACTGAGATTGTTATTACACAGAGCTGGGGCGGCGATCTTCTACCTGTCTTCAGACAGAAGTGAAAACCAAACTCAATGCAAACTCATTCGGCAAAACACTTGCACCTAAGAATCGTAAATTCAAGCATGCAAGAAATGTGCACAATGGGAAAATATGCACAGTGGACATGATTCCACACCTTGCACATAACTTGCTTCCTTAAAACTAATGGCACACATCGTCCTTCATCATTGCTGACGGATCAGAAGTTGTTGACATACACTAGGCTGTGCTGCAGGGCGAAGAATCTCATTTTTTGCTGGTAGCCTGGAATTCTGCCTTTTCCATTGTTCTTGGAATTGATCTGTAGTAAATTTCTTCAGTGTGTGTAAGTTCCAGACAATGTGAACATTTGATTTACAAATGCTAGAGAGCGAGGCTCTGTTAAACAGATAACTGTCTGGCTGGTTGGTTTCCAACCATGGACAGTGGTTCCCCAGGATGGAAAGAGGAGAGAAGATTTTGGGGGGTCCTTTATGGACTTGTGTGAGACTGAGAATGAGTGTGAGGAGGGCTGAACCCGTGTAAGCCTGTAATTCAACCCTGTTTATCCACTAAAACCTGACAAGTCTATTGGAGGCGTAACTCTTTCTGCTTTAAATTTCCACCTAATGCCTGGGGCTCCAAACCCAGTTCTCATGGGCCAAAATCCAACCGGTTTTCAAAATCTATATGTCATCTATGGCCCAGTCAGATACATGCAGAATGACAGAATCTGTCCTAGTTAATTAGACTCAAATGGGACTATTCGAGCAAAGGCTTTAAACTGTTGATGAAATAAAAAGATCTAGAAGACATGCGGGCAGCATGCAGGTTCAGTGTTTAGCATTGCTGTCTTGCAGCTCTGGGGCCCTGCGTTCAGTTCCTAGGGTGTTATCTGCATGGAGTTTGTGTTCTCCCCATGTTCTCAGGGTTATCTGGTTTCCTCTCACCATCTAAAGAAATGCAGCAGGTTAGTTGACTTCTGGGACAATTGGCGGGAGTGTGTGTGTTTGTGTCTGTGTCTGCCCTGTGATGGACTGATGCTTCCTTGTGCCGAATATTGTGAATATTTGGTTAAAAAACTGGATAGAAGGATGAAGCATGTGTTTGCAGCAGTCTTGCTGAACTTCTCAAGAGATGATGCACACATCAAGCAGCTGATGTATTTCCTGGAAGCACATGACATGAGTGTGTTTTTGTGTGAACACCGGTCAGGGGCTGACTGGCTGCAGTCCTTGCTCTGCGGAGAGTGAGGATCCAGGCTGAAGGCAGATTCATTGCATGTGACAATAATTAGTGAAACAAAACTTAACCTCTTGGAGGTGAAGACATCTATGCAATCAAGGAATGATATCTCCAGGTTATTGCCTTTGCAAAGCATTTACAAACAAATGTGATCCTGTTTTCCGTGTCGTTGCTCTGTTGGATCCTGCACAGCATTGGGCCTGTTGCTTCCTGCGAGCTTCTGGCAAGAGTGCTCCTCAACTCTGTGTCTTGTGGCTGTGTGCTTTTGCTCTGAGGATCCCAAAAAAATTATATCAGCCCATCCAGTGGCTGATATAAGTGAAAAACACTCTTTCGCTTTGTTTTCTTTACAACTGCGGTAGAAGTTACAGAACATGTTTGAGAAATAGAATTTTCTGAAACAGAAAACAAATTGCACTCAAAGCCTGGAGCTACAATCCATATCCCAATAGTGCATTTAAGGACATATATTAAAATCTGTTTTCTATTTCTTTGCCCGAAACATTATTAGCTGACTTTCTAAGGTCATTTCCTCCATGTATCCATCCATTATGTGAAACACACTTGTTTATTGGTGTGGGACACAGGATTCCTGGGTACAAAGCAGGAGTATATCCTGGACAGGATACTGGTCGACTGTTGGGCACAGAGGGACAAAATGGAGACAGCAGGTAACCCAGCCAGCTTGCAAGGCACGCAGAAACTCGAGCATCCAGAGAAAACTCACATGAAGTAAAGCAGAACATGCAAACACTGCATAGAACGTACCATATCTTAGAACCCAGGAGCTACGAGGCACCAATCAGCATACCATCATGCCTCCTTTGCTTAA